ACAGTAATTATATTTCCAGCCCACTTGTAGTATAAATAACTATTATGCCATAAGCAATAATAAAAACCACACCACCTCATATAATAATACTTTTAAAAAACTCATTAATCGCCGATATTTATGTTAACTCTATTGAACAAGGCTTCTTCAATGAAAACAACTCTTTTTTTATTAATAATGTTGCTTTCTACGGCAGGTATATTGATGACATTTTAATAATCTTTAACGGTAATTCAGCTAAACTGATAGCTTTACAAAACCTTATTAATAACATCTCAAATTTAGAATTTACTACCGAGATGGAAATAAACAACTCCATCAATTTCTTAGACCTTAACATTTCTATAAATCGTGATGTCTTGACTTGTAAATGAAAATCATGGATTCCTTCATCACATGGAGGCAAATCTTGCTTGCTACACTTACTCAGAACTTGTATTTCGATTTAGTGGCACCTCGATGGATTGCAAACCTGGATCCTTTTGGTAGCTCCTCGGAATTTCAGTTGAATCACAATTAACCGACACGACACGGATGCCCGAAGTACAAAGAATGTTCACAAATAAAACTAAGTCACAGTTCTCGATATGCGACGAAACTTAGAGTTGGTCTTAAAGCGAATTCTAAGTTGTTGTCTAACGGAGCGTTGATAAACTTTTGATTCAAAAATCTCTCTGATTGTAAGCTATGCTCACGATTAAGAATAAGATTTAGACCAAGCGCTTAAGTAACCACGGGTGTTGGAGGGGTGCTAAAACCTTCTTGAGGCGTTCCTATCACTTGGATGTCCTCGACACCTGGGCCAATCCAAAATACGGGGTGGATATTTTACGATAATTTTCTGAGCCAATGAGGGAATTTGGGGAAGGGAACAATTTTTGACCACGGGGCCAAAAAATAACATCTGCCACTAGCTAATCTCAAAAATCATCACGTAGTTCCCAAATTGTGGGAACCATCAAAGTTTACGTGGTGTAGCGTCTAATTTTGTAACGACTTCTTCGTACGAATAAAGTTGCGGATACATAATTTTTCCCAAACTTACCCCGAAGATAGATCTTCATCCCGGACATCGTAAAAGCGAGACGTGATTTTTGGCTTCTAAAAGAAAAAAAAAGGTTGCACGCCAGGAATTTCTAATTCGTATGGATCATTCTCAGAAAGCATTAAATATTTCCCGAATAACAATATTGATATTTGTATCCTTTGTATTAATAATTATATTGTTACTAATATTAAATAACTATAATAAAAAAGGTACGTTTTTTTTTCTTTTGGGATAAGAAAAAGATGAATATTAATAAAACTCTGGGTTAACGATGAAAATGGTTTATTTTATTTTAAATTGCGACATAGGTGCGACTTGTTTCGGAATTATCTTATTCCTTCATCGGGCACGACTGAAAGTATCGATAGGTTGTTAGTTACGGATTTTTTAGATAAAGATAGTTATAATTACCGTCAATGTTGAGGAGTTAAAATTATAAGTTGCTTCGTTAAATGAATCAAGGACATATCAACAGAATAGGTTGTATAAAGATTCAAGAAAACTCTTCTTCAAAGAATATCTCTTTCTAAAAAAGTACCGATCTACAAGTTTATGAAATTTTACACACGTGTTTTATCGTTAAGAAATCACTAAACCAGAATATATTCCTCAATGAATAAAATATTTCAACGGTAGGATGACTAATTGTAAGCTGATATAAAAAAGCGTCGCTATGAATAACTGAATTGAACTCTCGACGACCTCTTTTAACCAACAACGGAACTATACAAATTTTTTTTGCACTTTTGCGAACATCACGGATTGAACCGCGACCTTAAAGTCTCCAAGAAGATGCCAACGGGTCGTCAAGTTCCGTTAAAAAATGAGAATAAGTTCCAAGAGCACATCTAAATATCACACACAAATGCTCCAATGAATTGGAAATGCGATAGAACAGCGGCTGAAGCTTAAGGGGGGAAATTCATTTAGAACCGTCAAAAAACTCAAAATTTTTTTTCCATAAAAAGTTGCCTGAACATCTTAAGAATATGATAGCAAAATTTTAAAGCGAAATTCTAAGTACTTCCGTTAAAATAGCGTATTTTCCCGGTGCGCGTTCTTCGTGAAAATTGAAAACTATGTGACTCACGCGTGATTCACGTGACTCACGCATGATCACGTGATCAAAAAAATGGATTATTTTTATAGCAATATCTTGTTTAAGCTCTTGATTCTATGAAGTTTTAATTTCAAATGATTTAAATTGTAGAAGTTATAAACCTTTAACAAGTACGTTATAGATAACAATCTACAAGTCTTCTCGGTTTTTATAACTCCGTATCTTTACTTCTGTGGGAATAAAACAACATTCGTATCATTTGATAGAGTTTTTTACCGTGTTCAGTGCTTTGGCTAATGTTGTTATTTGTTGCAAATGTAAAGATACCATACAATTTGAGGTAGATGGAATGAGAGGTCTTGGGTTCAAGCTCGTTTTGCTTTGTCATTGTGGCCGAAGAGACATAAATTCCGGACCGTTAATTCAAACTGGTTATGAAATAAATCGTAGAATTGTTTTTGTTATGCGTCTGCTGGGCATTGGGAGGCAAGGAATAAATTTATTTTGCAATTTTATGGATATATGCGACGGTTTGAGTAATAGTGCATACAATAATATTGTTAAACATCAGCATTCAGCCACCAAATCGGTGTTCGAATATTTCAGCGGAAAAGCTGTTGAAGAAGAAAAGAAAGAAAATGAAAGGCAAGAAAGGTCAATCTTGAATTTAAAAGTATCTGGTGATGGTTCTTGGAAAAAGCGCGGATTCAAATCATTATACGGCGTAACATCGCTTATTGGGTACTATTCTGGTAAAGTTATCGATGTAGCTGTAAAAAGCAGTTATTGTCAAGCCTGTACATTTTATAAAAATAAAGAAAATACAGAAGAATATATTGACTGGTATGAAGAACATAAAGAAAATTGCATAAAAACTCACGAGGGTCTGCCGGTAAAATGGAAGTCGATGCAATTGTAGAGATGTTTTTGAGATCCGAAGAAAAGTTTGGTGTAAAATACGGCAACTATATAGGGGACGGAGATTCCAAAACGTTCAAAGCAATTTTAGAACAAAATCCATATGGCGACGATTTTCCAGTAATTAAAAATGAATGTATTGGACATGTTGAAAAGAGGATGGGATCCCGACTACGAAACATAAAAAAAACATACAAACTTGGCGGAAAAGGAAAATTGACAGATACTCTAATCAGAAAACTTACGACATACTACGGTCTTGCTATCCGTAGAAATATCAACAGTGCAGAGGACATGAAAAAAGCGATAATGGCTAGTTATTACCACATGTGCTCTACAGATGAACATCCAAATCACCAACATTGTCCGTCAGGATCCGAGAGCTGGTGCAAGTGGCAAAAAGCTAAATCAAATGGGTCGGATTCCTTGATGAAGCATCCAGTGCCATTGCATCCAGATGTTCAGACACACATATATTCAATTTATGAAGATTTATCCAGAGAAAATTTATTAATAAGATGTTTGGGGGGCCACACTCAAAATGCCAATGAAAGTTTCAACTCTACTATTTGGCGATTGGCTCCAAAGCACCTGAATTCTGGCTTAAAAATAGTGGATATTAGTACATATATTGTGGCTAGTTTATTTAATGAAGGACACAGTAGCATATTGGAAATAATGAGTAAATTAAATCTAATTATTGGGAGGCAAGCCAACATATACGCTGAACAAATGGACGAACATCGAATTACTCGGCAGTAACGATGTAACGAATCTGTGTTTAAAGAAGCTCGAAAAGCACAAAAAGACCAGTTGGCGATCGAAAGTGAATTTTATGAAGAAGCTGAAGGTCTGATATACGGTCCGGGTATTGCAGACTAGCCAACAAGTTATTCGTGATTGAAAAAAATTTGTTTTTACGACTTGAAACTTTAACGCGCTTTTTCTCAAATCAATGTATTTACACCTTATAAGCACGATAACTAATAAACTACTTGACCGATTTTCATTAAATTTGTTACACATATAAATAGTAATATCACCTTCTATTTGAACCTCTAAGTATACATAAGTTATGTTAAAAAATTACTTTTTTATTAATTTATATATCAATATTTTCTTAAAAAGTTATAACATTATTTTAAAACACCTGTATTTTTTAAATGCTTAAATTTTTTAAACTTTTTTTTGGTTCACATAGAAGATATGAATGTTGGGAACAATTTAAATGCATTCGCAAGTAATTCTAACCACTGTAGCGAATGCTAGAATGTTTGAAACGGAACCGCTCACTCCGTAACGTTTCCCTATCTGATCACTATTTGCCGTTCGCCTATAAAAGTTTTAGAATATGTGAATACATATTTTTATAGCACAAAGCATCACTAAATAGTAGTGGGTATCAAAAAGGTTTTAAACTAATTTCAACTTCACGAAAAAATAACTTGAAAATGCGCTTATTTTAGCTCGTCTAAATGTATTTCCCCCCTTAAAGGAACTATAAATGTAAGGACTCCACCAACCAAAGAACCATGAAGCTGGTGACAAAAAGTATAATCCTTTATCAAGAGGTAAACCAAGACCACACTTGTACCCAACCACGTTTGCGTTACAGCTAAAATGTGTTATGTATTATTGTTAAATAAATTTTAATTAAGTTGAAAAAAATTACTATCAGGAAATAAATAAAATTTGCTATGAAGTAGAAAACTTTTATTTCATTTTTTATAACAATGTATACTTATAAAGAAATTTATACTTCTTTATAACATCTTAAACTAATAATACTTATTAATTCGCTTAATACATTGTAGTATAAATTCATATTACTCCGTTTGAATAGGGCGGTAGAATTTAAATAAATGTATCATGCTTATTAACAATTAATATACAATGGCAACGAATTTTTAATAATAATAACTTTTTATTAATCATTAATTAACTTGTCATATATAATCATTTAAAAAATAAAAATAAATCATTAAACTACTTTAATTGAAATCATAAAAATATAACAAAATAGGAACTCAAAATAATATTATTTAACTGACAAAATTAGACTCTGCGATAATTATGTTCATAACAGTGAGTAATCCAATCCTTTTTCTGAAAAAAAAAAAATGCATCACTTAATTTATCGTTATAGTCAGCTATTAATTTTTTTATACACCGAATTTCACTTTAAATGCAATGTACAAATATTTACGTAACCAGTTATGAAAAGACTAATTTTGTTACAAATTACGTGAGTTAAACAAAATTACCCGTTTCATAATCTGTGAAGTACAAAATTTTATCTAATTCCATTGAAAAAGCTATTTTTGTTCAAAACTTGATTTATGGTATTAGTGGCAGATGTCCATTTGTAGTTAGATAATGGAATTAATTACATCACTAGTTATAAAAAAAAGTTACGTTAGATAACATCAGAAAGACGTGTAAAATTTAATTTTCATAATGGAATTAGGTAAAATATATTTCCATAGAAACCACGGCATACCTATTTACTTTGCCTCATATAAAATGCACACCCGAATGATCCTTGTTCTAGGTCTTGTGTTTGTTCTAGTGATAGTGCTAGTGCAATACTAGAACTAACACTAGACCGAGAATTGGAAACATTCGGAAGAATTATTCGGGTTTAGCCGTCTTAATCCCAATTTTTCTAGTTCTCGATCTAGTGTTAGTTGTAGTATTGGACTAGCACTATCACTAGAACTAACATAAGACCTAGAACTAGAATCATTCGGATTCAGCCATCTTGAGAAAACGTGCGACTAAATCCGAATGTTTCTAATTCTCAGTCTAGTGTTAGTTCTAGTATTGCACTAGTACTATCACTAGAACTAACACAATACCTAGAACTAGAATCATTCAGGTTTAGCCGTCTTGGAAGACGTGCGGCTAAACCCGAATGTTTCTAGTTCTAAGTTTAGTGTTAGTTCTAGTTTTAATTGTTATTCAACGTTAGATTATGGTATCTAGAAACATTCGTGTTTAGTCGTGCCGAAAAGTCAGGTTGTCATAAGGACGCCATCTTTTTCCAAGCAATATTTTTCTTTGCAAAACTACCCAATGCCAGTTTAAGTAATGTACTGTTATATTTGATGTGGGACAGTGCAAGTGCATAGTGTAAGTACAAGTGCATAGTATAGTTTCGTAGCTATGGTTACTGCATTCATATATTGCGAGTTATATGAAATTCCCGGTATGAGCTATTTATTGCACAACTCGCTTAACTCCACTTTTTGAAAAATCTTAATTTTAAGTGATAAACCATTGAATAATATAATTTATTTGAGACGCCATTCAATTAAAGGTGTAATAAATGAGTAGTTAAACTCGTACAAAATATTTTTCGTTTATCGTCAGATCGTTTGAATGTAGTATTTATATTGGCGTTGATTTTATTGATATTTTAAGGAACAAGTCGTTGGTTGATCAGCGCAGACACCGTGTTGCAAACAATAAAAAAGATGACACAATAAAAAAGCAATGTTTATAACCTCATCGCATTTCTCAACTTTTTATTTTATGGAGTTAATCGATTTGTGTAGTGAACGACTGATATAAAACTTTAAAACATTGTATATAGATTAATTCAGTACAAATTCAAGATTCAAAATTTACATCAAAATGTGTTTAGAAACGTATCTTTTAAAGACTTCTTGTACTAATACTGAATCACTGCATAAAAGAATAGAATATCTTAGAACTCACCTGGCAATAAAATGAACAATAAACCTTTGTTTTGCAGCAACATTCATAGAACGCCATCATATTGCAAGTGTTACATAACAATAATGGTGTAGTGATCAAACTGTTATTCAGGTTGTCCATCTGTAAAAGAACAGAGTTGCAAATTAATTGTAATACTAGTTAATTTCTCGATGTGCAAATGTAAAGGAAGTAGATCAAGCAGAACACAAAACCAGAGCTAATCCAAGGTAAATTCTTAACTTGTCGCTCATTTTTATTGTTGCTTTATTCGAACCATCAATGTCAGTCCAGAAAATTCTTCCAGAATAAAATTCTATGAAGAACTACAAAAGACAATCGACGAAGTACTAAGATGAGAAGTAATTGTTATATGGGCGATTGTAAATAGGAAATAGATGAATTACATCTACATAAATAGAGGGATATATTACACACAAATACTAGATATAAAATGTCTATGCTGCAGACGTCGGAAGTGATCATAATCTCGTCTTGGAGAAGATTAAAATGACAATAAAACCCCATAGAAAGAAATTAATCAATAAGAAATCTTTACCAGACAAGATTGGAGAATAAAATAAGCAAAAGCAAAAATCCTATGAAAGGAGACACAGTGGTAGTTGGAGAAATGTTATGGACAATACCATAGAGACAGAAAAAGAAGCACTTGAAAAACGTGCAATAACAGTGTCTTTGGATACATATTAAATATCTTAAGTAACTAGTAACACAAGTGCCTCCTATTAGAAAATTCGATGGTTGTTGGGCTCGTAATAATTTGGAAAAAGTAAATACTTTTGCAGAGTATATTGGAGCACAATTCCATCCTAATGAGGGAGTTAATGAATTGCCGAGTCTCCATCCCAGTGACTACCTTCATGGGATCCCACTCTAATCACTCCTAAGGAAGTTGTTGTGGAAACTAAAGACCAGATGAATGGAAAACGGCCAAAATGACGATTCCATAATGATTCCAAAATGTGGCAAAAACCCAAGCGAAGCGGAATCATAACAACCCAAAGCTGTTTGAGAAATTGTTCTTGCAGCGCCTCAAACTTATTCCCAATCAACATAACTTGATACCTATACTTGATACATCTCTTAAATTTGGCTTTAGAAATAATCACAAAGACCATCGGGCAAGTACATCGTTTGACGTAATTCTTGATGTCGCACAGACTTTTACAGAGTGTCACGCTCTGAGGGCTTACTTCATAAAGGAAGATTATTTCTTTCTGTTCATCCAATATTGTATCTGATTTACATTTATGAAGTTCGAACAATATTGTACAGCGCAATACCCTCTTTCGCCAAAGACACGGTAAACATGACAGCAAGCTCAACCAGAAAGCTGCAATCTACTTTTGATAAAACTTGAATCTGGATAAAAAAATGCCGCATTAAACGCAGTAAATCGAAATCCACGCATATTGACTTCACAAATAAGATGATTGCACAACAACCAATCAACATTAATGGCAATAGCGAAGTACTATCGTATGACTCTCGATATCAAGTTTTGAGAAAAGAGCATATTAAGAAGAAACGTGATGAACATAACATCAAATTCAAAAAAATATATTATTTGATTGGCCACAGCTCTGAACAATCCACAACAAGCTTATATTATACTATAAGTAAGTCCTACCTGGATAGTAGGATACAACGTCTAGAAAATCATCAAATGTTGATTGTTGCAATATTATAATAATAATAATAATAATAATGCCTTTATTAATAGAAACAACAGAAAAAAAAAAGATTACAAATGTGCGCAGGGCGGAGTTAGGACCATAGTCCTCTCTACCACCCAACCCTGCGTTAAAAAAAAAAATCAAAAATTCAAAAAACAAAACATAAAACATTCGATCTTGACAATAATACTAATACCAACAAAACAGCCATTCAGAGAGAAAGTAATAAAAATAACACTCATAGAAAAAAAATCGAAAATGATATAAATTACTCATTAGCCCCATTCTGGTCACAGACAATGATCTCGCGGAGCCCTTTTTTGAAGGTGCTCAGTGGCAACGACTTAAGAGAACTTGGCAACGGGTTGTAAAGCCTGGGTAGATTAAAAGAGAAAGACCGTTGAAACAAAACCGAGCGGTGCTGAGGTGGAGTAATCAAGCCCTTGGATCTGATGTTCAAATTATGAACATCAGTCCGGAATGATATTTTATTATAAAGATAAGAAGGCGACTTAAATAAAAGTAATTTATGATAAAAAGTTAACAGATGTAATTTCCTCCTGTTAGCCATATTAAGCCAACCCACCTCCTTCAAAAAACATGTAACGTGATCTCTCAAACGCAACCCAAAAATCAGTCTCAGACAGGCGTTCTGAACTTTCTGAATACGGCCGGCAGTTACCTGATCCAGACAAGTGCCGTATACCGTGTCGCAAAAATTAAATTGGCTGAGTACCAAGGCGTCACACAGTCTCGCCCTAATGTCCCTAGATAAAAAGTTTTTAATATTATAAATAAGCTTCAGCGCCGCAAATGATTTACGGACCTTTAAAGTAACATGATCCCTAAATCTGACATCACAATCCATTAGGAGGCCAAGATTACGACAACAACCCGCAACGCCCAAGTCACCACTATCCAGCTCAATTCTAAAATGAGAGCAAGCGTTGCGGGCATTGCGTCTACCAAACAACAACATAACCGATTTTAAGGGATTCAATCTTAAGTTGTGACTGGCAGCCATTTTGGTAAACCGAGCAACATCACCCGCAATCCTAAGTTGGGCCACAGGAGCATCATCCTGTCTGAAAGAATAATATATCTGAGAATCATCGGCATAAAAATGAGCTTTAGAATATTTGAGACAATTTTGGAGACCAGAAGTATAAATGCTAAATAAGAGCGGACCCAATACAGAACCTTGTGGTACACCGGCCATTAATCCACGGGCAGCCGAGACGATCATGCCACAGGAAACGACCTGTCTTCGATCAGAAAGAAAATTCAATATTAAGGCAGCAGCATTAGTACAAAACCCAATGTACTTTAGAATAGAATCCAAAACTGTATAATTCACCGTATCAAATGCTTTCGAAAAGTCGAAAAGAATTAAAGCCGTAACCATGTCATCATCAGCTGCCCGCAGTATATCATCAGTTATATGCATCAATGCTGTACCACATCCATGATTTTTACGAAACGCAGACTGTGTCGTCGGCAAAACACTGCAACCCTCAACAAAAAATCTCATCTGAAAGGCCATGATTTTTTCCAAAATCTTAGACAAAATAGGCAAAATACTAATCGGCCTAAGGTCACCACACGAAGTAGGATTGGCTATCTTAGGCAGTTTTCCAAGCGTCTGGAAAAACTGAGTTAGATAAACAGTAGTTTATAATATGTGTTACATATTAAGAACACATTAAGGATGAAACACCATCAAAACCAACCGAGCCTGATTTTAACTTCAAAAGTAGTGAACCGACAATGTATTCATCTACCGTTTCAAATAGGAAATTATTACTAGGATTTAATTTAGAATTATTATAGAAGTCAACAACATCCTGATCAACAACCCCTCCCAATTCAGAAGATCTAGCGAAATAATCATTTATCTCATCTGCATTACCTAAACTCCCGGGCAATGGTTGGCGCCTCTGTCTGGCGACACCCCAATCACGAAGGACCCGCCATAGCTTAGCAGAACTACGCTGAGCCACCACCGAACCAAAGTATGCCTCTTTCTCTCTTCTTATCGCTCCTTCCACGTACCGCCTCAAATCTTTGTAACTATACAGATCATTAATATTCTTAGAGTGCTTATATTTAGAGTAAGCCTTATCCCTCAAACACATCATTTGTTTTAACTGCGGCGTAAGCCAAGGACTAGGTCTTTTAGAAAATCGTCTATTCCTTAGTGGAGCATATTTATCGAAAATTGAAATAATAAGATTATTAAAAAAATTAACTTTGATATTAACGTCATCCAGTTCATAAATTAAA